CTGGCCATCTCCTCTTTGTTCTTCACACTGATGACGGGCTCCAACACAGAGCACAACATGGTATAGTTATTGGTCACAAACTCCGCAAACTCCTTGTACTGCTCCATGGGCAGGATAGAGACAGTTTGGAAGCGAGATTTGATGCGGATGGAGGGGCCTCCACCTTTGGATTTGCTGGTGGTGGGGGTGCTGACCGGATACCATTTCTCCACAAACTGCCTTCCCATCACTCCTTGCACTGGTATGTTCACCAGGCCCACATAGTTGTTTTTATCCTTCTTCTTTTTCTTGTCAACATCACGGTAGATGTGTACAGTGATGCTCTTAATGGACGGAACGCCGGAGAACTCAAAGTGTTCGCCCCAGAACAGGCAGTCAGAGCGGGTTTTGCTGGTGGTGCGGCCGTACAGCACGTCATCCAGACACAGCTCACAGAAATACTTCTTTTTCGGTGGCAGATCTTTGGCCTCGATGATCCACAAACGGAGGACGTTTTCCGCTCGTCTGCAGTTGTCCTGGTGATGGAATGACACGGATTGAACCACAGAAGCTCATTTTAAGTATAAAACAAGCATGCATGATTTTGCATTGATTAAAAAAAACAAGCATCTTTGTTACCTTATTAGGCTGCACAGTTCTCTTGAGGTTCTCCATCCATTTGTCCCGTTCAGCAGCAGAGGAGCAGCTGAAGCACTTACTTCCACCTGAGTATGCCACCTACGTGAAGAGGGCGAGAAATTCAGCAATTCATTCATAGAGTAAATCATTCATTTAATCCAAATGTTATAAATAACTGAACTGTATCTAATATAACCCTTCCAAAATATTATGTGGTTGTACTTACTTGTGATGTCAAGATAGTTACACCATTGTAAAACGTTTGGGGCTGGTAAGATTTGTATTTATTGTTTTCGAAAGAAAAGTATATTTCTATTCAGCAAGGACATATTAAATTGATCAATAAAAACCATTTATTTCTATTTCAAATAAATTATGTTCTATTGAACTTTCAATTCATTAAAGAATCTGGAAAAATGGATTGTTTTCCAAAACAAATCTTAAAATACACAAATATTTTCAACATTAATAATAATAAGAAATGTTTCTTGAGAACCAAATTTGCATACTTGAATGATTTCTAAAGGAATATGTGACATTAAAGACTGGAGTAATGGCTGCTAAAAATTTTGCTTTGCCATCACAGGAATAAATTACATTTTAAAATGTATTAAAATTGAAAACGGTTAGCTTACATTGTAATAATATCTCACAATATTACTGTTTTAATTCATTTTTCATCAAATAAATGCAGTCTTGGAAAGCGTAAGATTTCGAATAAAAAATCTTACACAAACTTGAATGGTAGTCTACATATAAATGTCAATGTGATCATGGGAATAATGCTAAGAGGTGAAGTTTGTACCTCAAAGCAGAAGTCTTGTCCTAGAATGCTGCTGTGTAAAGGTTTGATGTAGACGTCCTCCTCCATACTCAGATCCAGAGCTTCAACAGCACTGCCTGGACTCAGCAAAGACTCATGGGAACAGGACTCCTTCAATTTGGGCAGGCCTCGTGACCTACAACAGCACACAGAGATACAGAAACTTTAACTCAATTACTTAAGACTCACCAGATCATTTAGTAATAATTACATCCTCTCTTCCGATTCTGATATTTCAGTCGCCTTCCTCACTGGCTACACAGTGTCTTCAGCCACAGGAGATTCGATATGCAAATGAGAACTGTGACAAATAGTTTTGGCTCAGAAAGATTGATTATAATCTCCTATGAATCATTTTAGTAAAAGAAAAAAGAAATTACAGAGTACGGCCACAGGGAGGCAGTCAAACATAAGAGTGAGTGTTTCAGATAAAAACAATCATTTCATTTTATATACACAAACAATAACCAATTTCTACTTCTTTACCATAATTAAAACATTATTTATTATATAATCTATCATGAAACAAATTCCATAATCTCCCTGCTTCTAGAAAGAAAGTTTATACCTACGAAAAACAACTAAAGATCCACTTGAAGGAGTATCCCAAGAGCATATCAGGATATTAACGCATTCCTGAAAAGAAACGAAGACTCCAATCCAATAGTTTTCAATTCATTTTTTTTGGTGCAGGCGTAGAGCTACTTCATCGTAGCTCAGGTGAGGTTAAAAAGGAAGCAGAAAGCTGATGTGACAAACAAGAAAGAGGGCTGGCCAATGCAAAGTCCCCGTGAGAATGTTACCATGGGGACCGCCCTATGAGGAGCTGAGGAGCGAGGGATGAGTTGACTACACAAACATCTTAAACACTTCCACACACACACACACACACACACACACACGCACACACACGCACACACACCCACACACACCCACACACACTTCCACACACTTCCACACACTTGCACACACTTCCACACACTTCCACACACACACACACACACCTGAACTACCGCCACACTTGCACAACATCCACACCTTGACATTACTCACATGGTTGGGTTGTTTAATGAGAATTCAGTTTTAAAATGAGAACAGAAGAGAAAATACAGTCATATAATACATATACATACTACTGTTCTACTGTGTTTTTGAAGTATTTATGAAGTATTTTATGCTCAACAAGGCTGCATTTATTCGATCAAAAATACAGTAAAAACAACAGAAATATTGTGAAATATTATTACAATTTAAAAGAACTGCTTTCCTTTTCAATATATTTCAAAATGTTCATTTAAAATTTTACATATTGTTTCAAATTTAAAATATTTTAAATGAACATTCCTGTGATGGAAAAGCTGAATTTTCAGCAGCTATTACTCCAGTCTTCAGTGTCACATGATCCTTCAGAAATCATTCTAACATGCTGATTTGCTACTCAAGAAACATTTCTTAAAAACGTATGTTTCTTATGCTAAAAACAATTGTGCTGCTTAATATTTTTGTGGACACCATGACCGTTTCAATAGAAACTTTTTATAACATTATAAATGTCATTATTGTCACACTGGATCAATTTAATGCATCATTGCTAAATAAAAGCATTCGTCTGAAAGAAGAAAGTCATATACACCTAGGATGCCTTGAGGGTGAGTAATTCATGGGCCAATTTTCTTTTTTGGGTGAACTAACCCTTTAATTTATTTTAAATTCTTACTGACCCCAAAGTTTTGAATTAAAGTCTGGAAAAAAATTAATATATAAAGAATGTCATCAAGTTATAATGGCCTAATTTTGGTTTGTGCGTAATTTTATTTATTTTAAATTTACTGAAAATGTGTCCTTGCTGAATAAAAGTATTAATTTCCTTCAAAATATTAAATAAAAGAAACAAACAACTAAACATACTGACCCCAAACATTTGAACAGAAGTGTGTATATAAGTTTATATATTTATAGATATGCCTGTACAATCAATATGTGTTTTAAAGCAGACCAATATAAAGACTGACCGCAGACCCAGAGTATAATACAATGAAAGTATGTAATACTACTACATAAAAGCCTAAAGAAAATGATTGATAGGAAGAGACAGCTACTCCTGTAACGTACTGTACACACATTCTCATTTAGTTCTGTGCTGAAGACCAGAGAAAGATACAAACAAATCAATTATTCAAATGTGCAGTTTAAAATCAACAAGCTTTTTGCTCGTTTTCAAGTTTACATTTACTATAAGGTTGAATGCAGTGACTTTGCACATATGATCAGACAGTTGGTCACGCAACATGGACTATCCTGGCATAAGTGCCTAATAGAAAATCTGCTGGCATCAGTTTCTCTCGTTATGAGAAATTGTGGTGATGCCTGCTGACTTAGATAAAAACCAGATTACCACAATGATTGGCCTCTCATCTGGCTCACATCCCAACAGAACCAAACACAGGACCCATCATATATCACAAAACATCCATTATCTGTCCACATTACCGCATATTTTCCCCGAGATGTGATATTCCAGTCAGAATTGAATATAATTCAGTTATACAGCCCAGATATCGTGGAAAACTACAAAAAAACAATACATCTTCTCAGGTTGTATGAAAAAAAAAAACAGCACAATCAATGTAGTGGGATTCGTGAACACACAAATCTTATGAGTTAGCTCTTTTAATAAAACTACTCAAACTCACAAGTTATTGAATCACAAATCAGTCTAATGAATCTTTCACCACATGAAATGTACAAATTTACTTAACTGACTCACTTACTGAAACTTCTGAATCTGACTCTCAGCCTAAGTGAACTGCCCTGTGGTTTGTAAAACTGAATGCAATTGCATATGACAAAGTGAAGTTCAAGATACATCTATTCATCTCCTCCATCCAAACAGTATCTCCTTCCATCTCCATTTACAAAGGCGTGGTACATTGAATTGGACAGCTGATGCAGGAACAGCAGGGTGACTCCTGATGGAGGGCTCACTTCCAGCTCTCGATACGTTTCACCTGTGCTGACTCGGACAGCTAAGCAGATCAGTGCACAGTCAGCTCATATCCGGACACAGCTCTCCCACATTATCCAAGAAATCTGATCGGTCCACTGGGACTGCGGTGCCACATTCAAGCTCTTTACAGTCAAAGCTTCCAAGTCCACTATGAATACAGGACTAGTATTTTCATTCAGACCACATAGTGAGAGGTGATTCTGCTACAGCAAAGGTCGATTACTTCAAAGTCTCTAATGTGCTATTTACATTTTCTTTTCAGCTACGAGTTCAAATGTTTTCCCATAGCCAGCTATTCAGCAAAGCCAAGAAAGCAGAAAACTGTAGCCTTATCTGAAGAGAGGTTTAGTTAGCTTTAGCTAGCACTTGGCATGATCACAATACATGTGGGAACCTATTAAGTTTGGGTGCATTTTCTTTTGCTTTGTTTAGCTTAATGGTACGTCTGACACAAGTTTTTGTAGTTTGAAATGTAAATGAACAACCAATCAAATAAATAAATAAAATAAATAATAATCCCCACATAATGAATTCAAGGGATAGTTCAGCCCAAAATGAAAATTCTGTCATTAATTACTCACCCTCATGTCGTTCCAAACCCGTAAGACCTTCATTCATCTCGGAACACAAATTAAGATATTTTGATGCATTCCGAGAGCTCTCTGACCCTCCCATAGACAGCAAGGTTCCTTACGTGATCAAGGCTCAGAAACGTAGAAAGGAGATCGTTAAAATAATCCATGTGGCATCCGTGGTTCAACTGTAATTTTACGAAGTTTACGAGAACTCTTTTTGTGCGCAAAAAAAAAAAAAAAAACCACAAAAAAAAAAACAAAAAAAAAAAAAAAAAAAAAAAAAAAAAAAAAACCCCCCCCCCCCCCCCCCCCATTTTGGAGAGTATCACATACGTGAACAACGTATGCTGTTCTGTGTCAACAGCACTGTACGCGGATACGCTGTTTATGTTGTTTACGCTTTGATCTGAATGTAAACAACGTATCCACTTACATACATTGTTTACGTATGTGATACTCTCCAAAATGTCGCTATAGGGTGACGCAGAGACGAATTATTGAATAAAGTCGTTATTTTTGTTTTCTTTGCGCACAAAAAGTATCCTTGTAGCTTCGTAAAATTACGGTTGAACCACTAATGTCACATGGATTATTTTAACGATATCCTTGCTATGTTCCTAAACCTTGACCATGTAAGGATCCTTACTGTTTTGAGTGAAAAACAATAAACTGACACATTTTTGTTATCTGTAATGTACATTAGGGTGTATTGTTTTACATATTCTGCTATTTAGTTAAATGTTTATTGTTTTTTTCTGTTTTACCACCTGTATAATGGTGGTTATCAATTCACTTTAAGATTAAAATTTTGATTTAAGTTTGAGTTTATTTAGATTAGCATATTAGTAGCATACTGGCTGTGTGTTAGTACTTACAAAGCACATATTAATGCCTTATTCTGCATGACCATGTTCTACATTCCTTAACTCTAACTACCTCACTTACTATAAGCAGCAAATTAGGAGTTTATTAAGGGAACACTCTTAGTTAACAGTGAATATGTGTTCCCTAATCTAAAGTGTTACCATATTTTCATAGAATGATTAAGAGCTCATCTTTAATTGCATCTCAGTCATACAGGGATGTACAGCATCTAGCGAACGATATGACATGATGTAGTCAATGTAGTCAATAGTAAATGAGTGAATGAGTCAGCAGTTTTAGACAGTCTACATGCATGAATGCGTAAAATGTTGCTTAAGTTGTCTCAAGCGCCTCATGACTTCTGCACCGTGGCGAGGTGTCATGCAAAATTTCCATTTTCCAAGTTTTCCATCCTCTCTTTCCACTGACAGCTACTCACAGTTGTTGCAGAAGAAAGTCTCTCAGCATCGTGCTGACAATGACATTATTACTAAAGCAACTGATGCAGATACACTGGAAGTTGACTACACTGAACAAACAAATCATATTTCATCACTTGCAAAATAACAGTGAGGACAGGGAGTCCTAAAGATCAGATATGAAAACAAATTGAATTTTCTGCAGTATGAAAAAAATGAAGGAAGTTCTATGGGCTACTTTTATGGTACATAAGATCATGCAAATATAGTACCATTCAAAAGTTTGGGATCAGTAAGTTTCTCTAGCACAAAATCAGCATATCAGAATGATTTCTGAAGCATCATTTGACACTGAAGACTGGAGTAATGGCTGATGAAAATTCAACTTTGCCATAACAGAAATAAATCACATTTTAAATTATGCAAAAAATAAAAATATAATTTACATTTTAAGATAAAATTCATTTATTAAATTTAAAAAAATTTTTTTTTAGATAATAATATAACTATTTTTACTGTATTTGATTTTTAAATCAAATAATGTAGCCCTGGTGAGCATAGAGACTTATTTGTAGGCTATCCAGTGATACCGGTGTTAAGCAGCAACACCGGTTACGTCACTTGCCCACCGCAGCACCGCTCGCCACCATTGTTTTGATTTTTTTTTTATAGTAATATAAATAATTTAGGCCTAGTTCAGTTAGAGAACAGACACTACAATTAAAAACTGAACGTGGCTGCTCAATGCAGCATGCCGAACGACAGTCGCATCACAGATCGGATTTCATTTATCACGTGAAGAGAGTCAAGCTGAGTGACAACAAGAGTGGGGTGAGACAGACAAGATGACAGCGCATGATTTAGTTTCGAAACGAAATGTAAAAGCGCCTGTTTGGCAATATTTTGGATTTTGTAAAGCCTGTTGACTTTTGCCGTTTATCTAAGGTGATATTGGAAGTTTTTTTTTATGTTTCTTACTTAAAGTAAAATCCGCAAACACTGTGGAACCAATTATTTAAACTTTGTGCAATTTATTTATTTTTATTTTACATCAAGGTGTATGCCATGTCTCCAAGCTTTCTTATTAATTTTGCTACATTCTACATTTCTTATTTATCTGGTTCCACAGTGTTTACTTATTCTCAGTTTTGTATACTTATTTAAACTTTGTGTAAGTTATTTGTTATTTTATATTAGGCATAGCCTAGGCTATAGCATGGTGTATTTTAATTTGTTTTGTTAATAAAAGTTCTATTATTTATATATAGGCTAAGTGAGTTTGACGTTGTATTTTGTTGTTGCTTGAATGTCATTGCATTCAAGCAATTGACGCTGAATTGCTGCTAATTCGAAAAAAAAATAAAGTGAAAGTAAAATGTGCACGCCGCTTTTACAAGCAATTTAAAAGTGAAGGAAAGCGAGGAAAAGAGGGAAAACTCCCCCCCACGATGATAGCAGTATTACCGGTGTTGTCACACGTCGGTGGGAAAATTTCCTCACCGTCACAACCCTACTTCTTTGAAAATCGAAAATCAAATTAGCAAACAAAAAACTTAACGACCCCAAACAAAATAGACTGGTATTGTATATACATTTTAAAATTATAATTTTAGGTGAGCTATCCCTTTAAATGCACCCAAACATGTGCACATAAGTGCATGTGGGAACGCAGTGACAGATGTCTGCTGAGAGTTCAGTTGTAATTCATCTCAATCAAACTGTCACATGCAGTTCCTCTGTCTTGCCAACACTATCACATGCCCCACAACACTCACACACTCCTTCCTGGCATTACTTTATGAGCAAGAGCTCTTCACAAACAGATGCACTCAATCCACAAGGAGCAGCAAGAGAAATCAGAATGATTAGAATAGTGTCTCCTCCTCATCTGTAGTCTAACCGTAGCAGCTGTGGCCATTAGAGTATACAGAGAGAGCAGATACACCAGCAACATCACAACCAGAGCCCACAGTCTCAATCCTGTTCCAGCAAACACAAACAAAAAGGGTGGAAATGCAACTTCTGGTTTGTCACCACAGGTAACCAGCCCTAATTCAGCCCTGAGGCCTGTGACACACTGTTTGTGTAGTAATAAAGCAAAAGTGACTTTCCCTAATGCTATTAACAGCCGTTTATCCATTAATCCTCTAGCTGAAGTAAGAATTACAGCGCTTACACACCCGACTGCAGCACTGCGATAAGTAAATCACAAGAAAATCTGACAAACCAAATGACAGAAAACAAAGAGCCACTGTCCATGTGATACAACATCATCTGGGTGGACAGTTTTGGACGAAGGAGGCCAATAATACCTGAAGTAAGTCATTTATCTTAAAAGGCAGACAAAATAACTTATCTTAATGAAAACTTATCTTAAAAATGTAACTAATAGCTGGACAACCCATTACTCTAATGAATGTTTATATCCCCCTTAGTCAGTATAATGAGCTAATTAAAAAAATAAAAATAAAAATTAAGGACAAAGTGTACGCTAACAGGTTAAATTGGAACGCTAACAGGTTAAATTGATAAAATAAAATGAAATAAAAGATTTATTTTGTTTAGAACAAATAGAAACTGGTGATTTAAATGGCGATTAATGAACAAAAGATTTTTTAGGTCTAACAAAACAAAACAAAACAAAAAACACCAAAGCAAAGCAAACCAAAACAAAAACAAACAAAAAAAAAACAAAC